TTTAAATTTTAGATTGAAAATTTTGAAAATTGAAACAAGATCACGTGATTGGTCGGTTTTAGCTTGTATGCACTGTACATCTTATTCTCCTAATTCGTCAATGAAGTGTGAGAATTTTTCGTCTAAACCATTTCCGTCAGTGATTCGTATTAATAGTGATTTTGACACAATCATTTAAGTCGTAAAACAGTGCCATTGTCTGAAATATTCAAAAATGACGAACTTTCCATGATTTTATATAGATAATAAATCGGATGGTAGACAATGGCTAAATAATAAAAAGGGGTCGTTGCAGAATTATTTTAATCTCCTTTCTTCCTCGACTGTGAATGCTATTTGGCGTCAATCATGCATACACACGTAGTTCTTGGTGTGCGCCAAAATTCTTTGCAACACGCCAGTTGTTAGACTATAGGGGTGGCACAATTCATCTTTTTGCTCGTGAAAATACATAATCATTCATTCTTCACCTCTCTTCATTATTCATTATTTCGATGCGAGATACCTAATATATGTGTATATATATATATATATATATATATATATTTATATATATATATTTATATACTAATAAATAAAAGCATGTGCCTGAATTTACAGCATATAATATAATGATAATGAAGTTGATATGGTGCTGCTGTTACTCTACTCTTGAAACTAAGAGATTGTTTGGTTTCTCGAAGTTGTAGTGGTGTAGTCGTATCTTTTTTCCTTTCCATTCACTCAACTCCCATCTTCTTAAATATTGAATTAATTCCATTAATTCTTGCCAGTCGAGAAAAAAACTTGAACTTCTTGTTCGCTTTGCGAAACCAATAAAGAAATGGAAAGGAAAACATTTAAAAAAATATTTATACTTTTATTATTATGGATATTTTTTCCCGTGGTGTCAGTGGTTGCGTGTAAGAATAAATTAACAATTGAATGAAATTGATATTTGATAATTAATAATTAATAATTAATAACACATATCTTCTTTTAACATAGTTATCTCTTATGCTGTCACCTGGATCTTTTATTTATTCTATGGTATGTTCATTTGTTATAATTAATATTTGAATTTGATTCTATAAACTAATACATCTTTGTAACTAAAAAAACTTTAGCACAAACTGACGCACCTGCAGACCAACCACTCGTTCCGCTTAGTCCGTGGCGAGTGTTTAAGGTCACCCTTTATTTATTAACTTATCTGTACGAAAACCTGACGGGTCCTTTTATTCCGTCCATAGTTCAATATTGTTGGCATAAACTTTCATCAAACAGAAAAAGAACTTCAGTGAGGTATATTAAAATGAATTTTATGTTATGTTATTTATTTTAATTTATTAAATTAAAAAAAAAAAATTAAAAAACACGACAAAAAAAAACAGGAAAAATCTACGATATGGTTTGCGGCCTCGAAATCGTCTCGACGTTTACTTGCCCGATCATGTGAGCACAACAGTGATCAAGAATAGTAAAAGATTTACAGAAGGAATATTGCATCCAAACTTGCCAATTCCTAATGCTCATCAGTCGGAATCTCCTGTAATAATTCTCATATGTACTTCGTGGAATTCTGGTAATGTACATTAATGCAATAATGAATGAATGAATGCATCATGTGTTTTGTTAATCTGTGTTTATCACACTAAAAATATTAGGAAATAAATCAACATGTATGCCAGTGGCTCATAATCTTCAAAGTCAAGGTTACGTCGTCGTTGTACCAAATATCACGTTATATCCACAGGTAACGAGTTTCATTCAACCCACAAGACTATAGAACCAGTAATAGCGTTCAGAGACTGACATTTTTATTATTCTAGGGAAAAATTGCAGAGATAGTTTTTGATGTTCAACAAGTAATTCATTGGACCCATTCACATATACGGTAATTTATTATAAAGTATTTGACTTTCATCTTCGCCTTTATTATTTTTATCATTGTTGTAAACGTTTTTACATAATCTAATTTCTTGATACATATGATTAAATCCAGGCAATTTCGAGGAGATCCTTCACAAATATACTTGATGGGTCATTCGGCTGGGGCTCTCTTGGCTGCATTAACAGTTATTCATGATGCATGTGCTACTTTGGGTGTTATGCCACTTAATACTACTCACGTGAATATTCCTGTTTGGGATAATGTTTCACGACGGACATCTCTTCCAAGAGTTCAAGGATTAATTTTGTGTGGTTCAATATTTTTTTTCATGCTTTTTTGCAAATGAATTCTATTTATTGATACATTGGTAATTCATAGATTTTCTGGCACATATGATATTACTTATTATTATGCTTATTTACATCATAAAGGTATATAAATTATCATTAAACTAAGTATTTGGTATATTTTCATTAATCATTTTTTTTATTATTTCTAGGACTTGAACAAGTTCACGCTGTTCCGAGAGTTATGGGTAATTGAATTTATCATTTAAATACTATTAGATTTTTTTTTGATAAGTCCATTAAATAAATATTGTCAACGTCTTCTTATATCTAGGTAATACACCCGAAACATTTCTACAATGTTCTCCGACCTTCTTGTTGAATCACGCTTTAAACCATATCAAAGATAAAGACCGATTGAAAATGACTTTACCTCGTAAAGTTTTATTGATACATGGTGCAAAGGTAGAAAGAACACGTTTTCTTCCAATTCACTATTCCAATCCAATTTCAATTAAGTCTTAATTTATCATAATCTACCGCTACATCAAATGATTGCTAATTAATATTTATTTATTAAAAATTAAATCGAAAGCAGGATTCATTCAATCCACCAACTTCAACGCGTAATTTCTACGATCTTCTAGTTGCAGCCGGCATTCCATCTGTACAATTAAAAATCTACGAGAATCAGAATCATATTAGTCCACGAATTGATTTAATTGTACCAACGAAAAGATTGTGTGTATTATTACTAGAAGACATTAAAGACTGTTGTTTGGGACAAGCTGGAATTGTAATGATGGGCGGAAAATTACGTGAAAAGAAAGAAGAAAGTGATCATGAAGAATACGTGATGGACAATGAAGAGGGAGAACGAGTTACTATTCGTAATGGTGGTGATATGCCTCATCCTGTTTTAGTGACTGCATGAAAATTTATCTTATTAAAAAGAATTTCTATTACCAGAGGGAAGGAAAAGTGGTGTTCTTTTATTTAGTGTTCATTAGTCTTGAAGATTCTTAGGAATAATTCCATAACCAATAAATTCCCGCCTGATCATGCTTATGAAAAGCATTTTTGTTCTTACTCTTTATTCACGCATTCAGCAGCAGAGCAACATTCTTTATAACACGTATATAACCACAACTTGCTTCTTTAATTCATACAGTAAACTCGAACTTTATATTGATTTTTTATAGACAATAATTAGGTTCGCAATACGCATGTCAGAATACACTTATAACAATATTACAGGTTGGAAACAACTTTATAATATTGATATTTATGAAATGTTTTGGTATTTATTCATTGTAGTGATTTTTTAGGGGTTTCTAGTCTATAGAGTCATGCTTTTTTTCATGTCTTGAAAAACAAACCATGTTATTGAATTCTTGAGCATGTTTTGCAATACTATTACTTGTATTTTTAAGTATTAATATTGTTACCAGCAAGAATACTATCTTTTAAACTGTCAGGTTTAACAAGCAAAAAAAAGTTTAACAAAAAATAATTTTTTTTATTGAATTGTATCACTATATGTGCTTCTTGATCTATGAATTCTATTGAAATTATATTATACTTTTTGATATAGTATTGTTATCATTTTATCTTTAATCACCTTTTCAATACACATTTATTATCAAAAATACAGTAATATTCTTTTATTATTTTTTATTTTATTTTCTAATTTTCTTTTATTATTATCCAATAACAATAACTCATATTTTTATCCAATCAATTTTTATTTATATTGTATTATTTTTATCTAAATTTTATTATTATTTATTTAACCAATTAATTTATATTTTAAATCTTATTGATATTTATTTTTATCTCTTGTTACTGTTCTCGTTAATTCAAAAATTGTTGAAATTAATAAATTAACAAAGTAACATAACAGTGAAAGAACAAAGACTAAATGAATTACAATTAATAGAGCTCACTAAAGATTCTAAAGGTCTCCTGTGATATCTTGTACACAAACTAACTAAATATTATTAATAAAGAATAAAAATAAACAGAAAAATAAAATAAAAATTCAAAAAGAAGTAAAAAAATTAACAAATAATTTTAAAATAAATAACAGGACTTATTAAAGATGCCTAACGAAATAAAATAACAATTGGATTTATTGAGACTGCCAATTATGAAATAAAAATAAAAATAATAAAAATAACCAAATAAAACTTATTGAGATATTTAATAATAATAAACTAAAATAATAATGTCAATGACTTATTTAGAGTGGAGAAGCATTCACTATTTGTAATTTCAAGATTTGAAGATAATTCATGAAAATAATAGTGTATTTACAAGTAAAATATTACTAGTAAGAACTTTGTTATTTATTAGATAAAAGGATTAGAGCATGAGAGTTTCTAGTGACAAGAGACTCTTCTTTTATACATTTTTAATCTTTTATACAATTACAAAACTAATGACTATTATAAACTATACCATGATTTATATATAATACTAACAATACAAAAGAAGTATAAATATCAAAAAATAAATGAGAAATTACACAAATTCATTAACAAGAAAATACAAAAGAAAATTAGTTATAATTCTAGTAATTTAAGATAAGAAAAAGCAAGAGTTTGAGTAAAAAGAAGTGTTGTATAGAAAGAAAATAATAGAACGAACATGATAATAGATAATTATAACAAAGAAATTAAAAGATAAAAAGAATAATTGTAACAAGAATGAAAAAGAAAATAAAATTAATATATAAATGATTGATTAAAAATAATGAAATAAAAAGATAAAAATAAACATGATAGGGGTATAGATGAGATAAACCAATAATAAAAATATATCAACATTCTTATTTCTGAAGAAAAAGAATTGGTAATTAGAATAATCAAACTAATTACCAGTAAAAATCCCAAAAAAAGAGTTTTATAGTGAAAAATACAAGAATAAACAATTTTAATATAACAGTAAAAGAAAATAAAACAAAAAGTATACAAAAATATGATTAATATTTAGATATTACAATCTAGATATCAAAAAGATAATGATATATACTAAATATAATCATGTAATAGGATACAATGTAAAAATAAAGGAGCAAATTAATTTGATCAATATTGAGTTACATGATATAACATTTAATATTCTTTGTAATACATTTTAATTTTTGTTGAGCAATAATTAAGTAATTATGAATTTTTTGTAAAAATGATAACAATAGTCACACTTGTTTATAATTACAGTCACATTTCTCTATGGTTATCTTATTTTGCTTTTCTATTTATATATAAACATAGTAAAATAATCTCTTTATAATCATATTCCTTTTATAGTTATCAAATTTTGCTTTTCTAAAAGTGATAACTATAGAGAAATTTGACTATAATAATATATTATTTTAACTATTTTATAAATTAAATGCTTGAAGTAAGTATAAACAATGTATCAAATAATAATATTATATTTTATCATTTTATCAAAAAATGTACAGAATATGAAGTAAAATTTAATCAATCAAATTAACAAATCTGATATCTTTATTAAATTATTAACTTAATCACTCAGAATACTTTAAAAAATTTTAAGATAAAAGAACTGAACAATAAAAATAAATTGCTAATAGATAATTAAAATATTACTTCTCTAGAAATAGTTAAAAAAGTAAAAGAATATATTTAAAATTTTTAGTGATATTTTTATTTTAATAAATTTAAAAATTATAGTTATAGAAACTTATTGTGAGAATTCATACTTCTTCACAATATTATAAATAATTTGCTCATCAGTATGATGTTCTTAAAATAAAAATACTTGAATTGATTTCAGATATTAAAACTTGTTGGAATTCAATTTTTATCATAATACAAAGAGCTTTCCAGCTTTGTGAAATAAAATCTAGTTTTTTGTATTTAAAATTATTATGGAAAAAATTTTTTATTTATATTATCTCTTTCAGCCTTTTGATAATATAACAGCAGTTAATAAGAATCTGACTAGATAGATACTTTCAAGTACCAAGTAAAGCTAAATTGAGCAAATCAAGATTTTGATAAAGATGAGTTATCAGTAGTATTTATATAAATTTTAATCTATTTATTAATTTTTTATTTTATTAATATTTTAATAAAGTCACAAGAGTTATAAGTATTGAAAAATATTTTATCATTAGAATAACAGTTCCAATTTACAATTATCTTTTTGATATTTTAGATAAATTTCTTCAGAATATTTCAAATTTTAATTTAAGAAGTATAATCATTTAGATAAAAGAAAAACTCAAAGAATATTATCTAATAGCAAATAGATTAGTATCTATTATCAAAACAAGTATGACTTATTTAAAATGTGATATATTTAACAGTTGAAAGGACAAATAGCTTTTTTTAAATAGTTTATAAATGAATAAGTTGGAAGAACATTCTAATTTTTCTATTAGTTTTAAATTCTTGATTAAAAATATCATATTATAATGAATACAGATTTGAAAACTAAATAGAAATATATAAGAATCAAATAACTAATTTGTGAAAGTTTTCTTATCTCCTTATCAGTCAAGCAATTAAAGTTCATGTAAATAAGATATGAAACAATCTTGTTTCTTATATTTTTAAAAGACATAAAATTATCAAGCAAGATAAACTTGATTTTTATCTCAAAGAGTCTTTAGTTGATCTGTATAAACTCATAACATCTTAATATAATAGAAGATAATTATTGTTATATTTTTATTTGACTTAATAATTCAATATTAATATTATATATAGATTTATAAAGTTAAATTGCTGAACTTAATCAAAATGATCCAAGATTATCTAATAGTTTTCAGTATGTATATTACTATTATTAATATATTATTTGCTTTTATACAATCAAATCTCTCTATACTCACATCTATTTATAGTTATATCTCTTTATAGTCACCCTATTTTACTTTTTTATTTATATATAAATATAGTAAAAAAATTTCTTTATAGTTACATTCTCTCTATAATCATCAAATCTTGCTTTTTTGAAAGTGATAACTATAAAGTAATTTAATTATATTTAAATTTTGTCAATAGTTATTAGTATTTCAATTGAATACATTTTTTTTGGTGGTTGAAATTTAATTTCTCATAGATATTACAGTTTAAACTCAAAATCAATCACAGTGTATATGTGTTTAAAAAGTTGATAAAAAATAAATAATAAAAATAAGGTAAAATAATATTATTATAAAATTTTAATCTTTAATGATATTCTTGTTTTTTTACTATTAAGCAATGTGATAGATATTTTAATTTGATAATTTTTCTTTATAAGATGATTTATAAAAGGGAGTTTACACATTTTGTTTTTCTTCTGAATTCATATTAATTTTCAATTTAAATAATAATACCTTTCAATAATATTGTCTTCTTATGATTAATATGTATAATAAAATATATAATAAATAAATATTATATTATTTTAGTTAATTATAAAAGTTTCAGATTGATCTGATCTGAAAAGTTTTGAATTAATTCTATCTGAAAAGTTTCAAATTGATCTGATTTGAAAAGTCTTAAATTGATTTGATCTAAAAAATTTTGAATTGATCTGATCTAAAAAGTTTTGAATTAATCTGATTCAAAACTTTTCAGATCAAATCAGATTTTGCATTAATCTAAACTGATTAAATCAGATTAGATATTTATCAGATTAAATTTAATTATAATTCAAACTGAAAATTTTAGTTCAAATCAAATTGTTTTCAAACTCGATCTGATCTGATCTGAATAAAGCTTTAATAATATGCAATAAATACTATTATTATTATTTAGTTAATTTTTATATATTAATAATAAAGACAATTAAGTAATAAACATTTAATTAAAGATATTTTATTTAAGTCATTAATTGAACTAATTATTACAACTTGCTTTTTTTATAATATAAAAAGTATTTCTTATATACATAATAATTTTAGTCTATATA